AACTGTGCACTGCCATTATCTCTCTCTCAATTTTTTTGTTGATTATGTAAACCTGAGAACACTCATGGAGCCATCAAGAATTCTGGAACTTTTTACAGCAAAGAACTCACATTGATTACTACTTTTAATAGCTAGAAACAGATCTATAATCCATACATTTGTCTAATAATTTTTAACCCTTATATACTATGTTTTCAGCATTATCATGTGAAAAATATATATATGATGTAATAATTGTTTTGAAAAAAAATCCATCCTAAAAATTCTGTTAAGTGTTATTTTCTTAGATTTAACTTACTGTGAAGTATTTTAGCTAGTACTTAAGTCATGTTATAGTTTACATTTTTTTGACACGCTTTGTAGTAAACAGATTCTAGAACTTGACACAGTGTCTCAATTTCCACTAACCATAAAAAAGAGAAATAATCATCTGTCTTGGTAAGTCATAGTGTTAGTCACAGTTCCATCTCTGAACACTTAAGGATAGAAACAGCAATTTTTTCCAAAGTATTCCCATGATAGTTCATTTTAAGAGCTTGTCCATTATAATTTTTAAATCTTCTACAAGTTCATTGCCTGTTAACAACATGTGAACTCAAAGGATTCCATCTGTCAAAATGGAAAAAGTCCGTGCTTCACAGAAAAAAATGACAAACTCAGAATAAGAAACTCCTACTGAAAGGTACCCCTCCTGCTTTACTCCTAGGAGGTCAGATGTAAGAAAATTCAAAAGATATTTGGATGAGAATAAAGTGTGTCAGACAAGTGAAGACTTGATAAAAACTCTATACAAATAATTACAATCGCATAATTTTTATGTTATTAAATAATTTATTTTCTTTGCATTGAACCTTATGAAAGCCATCTAGGTTTTAAAAGATGAGCTGGGAAGGGAGCATTGTTACACTGAAAAGTGTTGGTACTGGACGTGCCTTATGCATGTGAGGAAGGTTTGGCAATAAGCAGAGCACCTCAGCTGAAGTCAATAAGGGTGGGGCATTTTGGGATATTTTGGTAACAGTGCAAGCAGCAAAACCCTTCAGAGCAAGAAGATGAGAAGGTAGGCTCTTAGGAGCAGTTTCTGTCCTGATTTCCTTGTCTGTGTGTGCCTGTAGCCCTGGTTTGACTGAAGCTGCCCTTGAATAGAACAAACAAAACAGAAAGGGGAAAAGGGCAATGATGGCCACAGGAAAGATGGGCATCACAGCAGCGTTTGGACAGGTTACTTGCTCTGATAGGAAAAAAAAAAAGTTTTACAGCCTATGACTACCCAGGTATGGTGAGCTCCCTTTGTCTGGCTGCTACACATACACACAGCCACTCCTGCACTCCTCCACCTAATTGAGAGAGAGAGAGGAAATAAGAAGAGAAGCTTGCAGGTCAAGATTAGGACTGGGAGATCAGTCATGGTCACCAATTATTCTCACTCAGCCTAGGAAAGAATAATTTAAATTACTGTTAATGAAAAACTAAAAGACTTTCTTTCCAACCTGCCAGAAAACATGTTTCTGCAGAGTCTCCTCTCAAGGGGCTGCAGCTCCTGACAGGATTATGGTCCAACATGGGCTCTCCCATGGCCTGAAACCTCCTTCAGGGCACATCTACCTGCTGGTCACACAAGTGGTAGTGTGGATACCTGCTCCTATGTGGTCTTTTGAGGGCTAGAAGGTGCCAATCTGCTTCACAATGGTCTTCTTGAGGAACTTCCCAGGGAACCCTGGTGGACACTGCCTCCCTGTCCTTCTTTGACCTTTCAAACTGCAAGGGATTTTTCACACTTGTTCCCCACTCCTGTCTCTGACGCTTTTCCTGCTCATTTTTGTACACTTTGTAATCACATTCCAGCTGTCCTGGCCTTGGGCTCAGCCACACCCCACACGTGGTGGCTGGTTGGATCGGCTGGAACTGACTGGAACTGGCTGTGTCAGCCCCGGCCTCCTCTCACAGAGTGCCCCCCGCCACCCTGCAGCCCCCCACCCACTGCAAGCAAAACCTTGCCACATGAAGCTACTTTAACAGCTCTTTTAACCTGAGTTATCTCAGTTTCTTGTGTCAAACAAAGCCATGTGCCAGGCCTGCAGCAGGGTGTTCTGCCTGGGCCAGAGCACAGTGGGGCAGTGAGGCCGGGTGGTGTATGAGACTGAAAGTCCCCATACAATGAGACTTTCAGTACTCTCAGAAGAAACGAAAAATGAAAGTAGGGCTTGAAAAAAAAAGAAGAAATCTCAGAGAATAGTCATTAAAAGGAGTACTGGACGTTTGTAGAAAGTCCTGAGGAAGGAAACAAGTTGGGGGCCAAAGCTGTTGCTGTTATTGCCCTGTGACCTCTCAGAGTTATGACTGCTCAGTGTGCTCTGGAAGTCGCAGCATGCTCTCTGCTTTTTAAATGGAATAATTCTGCTGAGAAATCCAACTCAGAGCGGAAAGTAATTTTGTGCCTTCTGGGAGGAATTTCATTTTGGTATTATTTTCTTTGTGGTGGCTTATTTTTGGTTGGTTCATTTTTTGGTTTTTGGGTGCTTTTGTGTGTGTGTGGCTTTGGTCCTTTTTTTTTTTTAACATTTATTGCTACCAAATTGTTGGTAGAAGCTACACAAATTCTTAAGAGGTTTACTGTCAGATCAAGATTGTGTCTTTGAAGCTTAAAAATTATGCATTTTTAAATTCCCATTCAAATTAAAGTTCCAAATGTAGTAAAGAGTGAAAAGACCTCATGAAAATAAGAAGTTACAAATTAAATAGAAATAAGTTGGTAATTGTGACATTCCTATATATCAACAAATTTGTGTTTTGGAAAAGCTAAAATGACCCATCTTTGTGAATGTTATTTTTGTAGTTTTCAATTTTCTTAATTATTCAGAGGCAATTTTCCTTATCTGATCACTTCTAAGCAAGGAAAGATTAAAACTATATATCATTAGGTTGGGAACTGGGCAGCTGAGGTGACCAAGAAAGTATTTTTCTCCTACTGTACTGAAGAAGAGAGGCAATGTTTCTAGGACTGTGAGTCCCAATTGTTGCTCCAATCTGGCAGCTGTCTGGTTAGGGATCATAGTTAAGATTCAATCTCCTATTATGTAAAGGAAGACAAATGAAATAACATTGGTGTTTCAATGAAGTTGTCTTCAGATAATCAGGGTAGCTGGGAATGTTCTGCAGAGCCAGCTATTATGATGTCATGCTGTAAAATCAGCCTCTGGTGGGATCTAAGATAGGCAAAACTTGGTAACAGTTGTCTTGCAACTTCGGTTTGTCATCTCATGTTCTTGTTCTTTAGACTAAAATCTACAGCATTTGGTGGTAGTGTGGTACCTCATCAACTTTATCCCAAAGTTTTTGTGGCATTTTTAACATAGTTCTGACTTCATGCTGACACAATTTTCTTGCATGAGTTAAGAGCAGTGCAGACTAGCATGTCTCTGGTAATAATGTACTCTGGTTTTTTGCAAGTCTAATGACAAACTTTTAACTGCAGCACTCAGAATGTACTGGAAAGTGATAGGTGTGATTTCTTTCCTACAAGCTTTCTGACATTTATCTTACCGTAAAATCTTAAAAGAACAATACATTTCACAGGAGAAAATAAAAGAGTTTTATGTTGTTCAAAACTTGGTACAACTGTGATAGGGTAATGAAACAAAGCTGTGAACTTTAGGCTGAGCTTTCAATTTATGCTTAATTACTTTGATGATTTCAGCATTTCTTGGAATTAAATTTTTGGATCATAATTAAGTAAAAATTTGATCCATTAATTAATGTAGATTTAATTTATTCTGCTAATGAGAATAAATAAATTTCAGGTTTGTAGTGTGGAATACAAGTGAATACAAATTTAAAAAATGGGGCAAGTTAATGGAATAGAAAAAAAATCAGAGAGTTGGAACTGAAAATTGAGATTTTTTTAATCAAAAAAGAATACTACTGTCTGCCAAAAAAAAAAAAAGTAATTAATATAGCAAAAGATTACTTCTAGAACCTAGACACAAATTTTGGCAGTCTGTAGGGCTATCTCCATCTTCCTGTGGGATATATAATTCAATTAGCTTATGTAATGCTCACTAATAAATCATCTTATATACACCCAGCTGGAGAGCTTATAGGAAAATAAGTTGTTTTCTCACAATTCCCCATAGACATCTGCATTTACATTCTGTCAAAGCTACTGTATTACCTGCAGGAAATGTGAGTGCCCTTGGATATCCTTAAAGAATTAAACCTTCTAAAGTTACAGGAGTGTGAAAATAAATTTAAAATTTATTTAGCCAGACTATTTGGGTTGCAGCTGCAAAATACAACTCCTTTGGGGTATAGGTAAACACTAGGTTTCTGTGATCAAGGACAAACACATATTTCTTGCACTGTCTGTTGCACTAACTAAATTCTCCTGTAATTCTGGAGAAATATTAACTTGCTGCTAATTAGTGTGGTTTAAATTTGATGATTTTTGCATTAGCCTTATCAGAGGAAATTGTTATTATGTGAATACATAAACATGTTTCTATTTGCAATAATAGGCATTAATTGATAATGAGAAAACATCTATCAGGAAATACTGATAAAAGGCTTGTGAGCATTCATTTATATAAGTAATTCTTTATTCTGTCCATAATTGCCTTACTAATGTGTTTCTTTTATAGCAGTAGGCCCTAATGTAAAAAATTAGAAGGAATAATTGTAAGACTGTGGCTCAAAAACATGCTTTAAAAATTTAATCATGATTGGGATTGGATATTTTGGTTGTAAGACTGCTTATATAAAGCTATATTTGCATCTCTGCAAGATTAATGAGTAGCAACAAATATAGTGAGTGTGAGCTGTAATCAAAGGATGTCTATATAGCAAAAAAATGTATCAAATTAGAGACTTCTGTTTATCAGACAATAAAAAAGTCCAATACTTTTTCTTATCTCCAGATTCAGTCTCTTGCACTTGTTGAGCTGAATGAGTAACTAATGTGTTTTAAAGGTGTGTAATCACTGTATTATTATTTCTCTTCTCAGGAATGTGAATCTGCTCCGTGCATTAATGGAGGTTCTTGTCAAGATGCCACCGATGCATTTGTTTGTGTTTGCCCAAGTGGCTACACTGGCAGGTTTTGTGAAGTGGATGTTGATGTCTGCAGAGAGTCCACACTGAGCTCAGTTCTTTGCTACAATGGAGGTGTATGTGTTGATGGACCTGGAAAAAGCTTTCATTGCAGGTTAGTATGAATACTGTCATATAATTGCTTAAATTAATACACATTGACTTGTTAATATTTCAGGGCAGTATTGATACCATGTGCTCTATATGAACTCAAAGGGATTTAGTGTTCAATCTAGTGGTCAAAAATATTGTTATCTTAAACTATTCATGCTTAACATCAGACTCTTATTTCTGAAAAGTTATCTTCTAGTGCTTTTCAGAATCATGTGTGGAAATGTCTAACATAAAGTGACCCTAAAATATTTAAAATTATTATGTTATTGTTATGTATGTACTCGTGTGTTACGGTGGTCACAAGGGTTTTCAGGTGAAGAGAGACGAGAATGTTGATTCCATAATCAGAAGGCTTTATTTATTATTTTATGATATATATATAACATTATAACTATACTAAAAAGAAATAGAAGGAAAAGTTCTCAGAAGGCTAGCTAAGCTAAGAATAGAAAAGAATGAATAACAAAAGTCTGTGTCCCGGCAGACAGCGAGAGCAGCTCTGCCGTGAGTGGTCAATAAATCCAAACATCCACAGGAGACCAATCACACATCCACCTGTTGCATTCCACAGCAGCAGATAACCATTGTTTACATTTGTTGCTGAAACTTCTCAGCTTCAGCAGGAAAAAATCCTAAGAATGGATTTTAATTAAAAGATGTCTGCGACACTCGTATGTTTCAAACTCAAAGGGAAAATTAACTGGCAATCAAATTTATATGAAAAGTAATTTACATGCTATGTGTGCACAGACACATATCCAAAACAACGTCCTAAGATCCATCATCATTATTCTCCAGCTGTTAGACTTCTGCCTAAAAGCACGTAGTTTTATACCTTATATGCTTGTAATATAGTTTTAAAATTAGGCTACTTTATAGACTGTTCATATTATTATGTCAAATCTTAATATCTACTCCTATAAATTTAAATATTCTAGATCCCTCTGAGTACCTTACTCCAGTGAATCAACTGCAGCACTCAGCTTGGTGTCATGGGCAAACTGGCTGACCGTGCCCTTAATCCCCCAATCTATGTCATTGATGATGATATTAAATAGTGTTTATATCATGACAACTCAAAAAATATTACTTAGCTTAGACCTTTCAATACGTGCTAAAGTAATTCACACTCTCTTGATTCTGCAGTGGGCAGAAAGACTTCTGTTGGCACTCAGATGTCTCATAACCTGGTTTGCGCATTATTGTTTGATGGCCAGTTTGAAAATTAAGTCCTGTGCATTCTCCTGTTTCTTCTTTCCTAGCTCATTGTCACTCTAGGCTCCTTTTTTCAAGTTTATGTACTGCAGCACCCTTTCATCTTTCACAGATGAATCCTCTGAATGAAATGAAATTGCTTATATTTCTTTCCTCTTCTGCTTGGGATTTTAGGCCAAACATTGTCAGAATATTTACCTTGTACTTGCTTCTGAGCCTAGCATTAACCATCAGGAGGACTTCATGGAACCAGATTCAAGGAACTGGAAAGGAATTATAATCAGAATTTTTAGTGCTGCCGAGATTACAAAGGTTTCATGTGTTATAAGAGTACAGTAAGTTAGGTTGATGTAAGATATGATATGATGCAAAAAGAAGTGACATATTCGATATAAGTCTCTTCTGATGGGGTCCAGGGAAAGGCCTTTTTTCAGCTGATTTCCTCTCCTATATTGATAGAAAACAGACATAATTCCCTTTCTCATTAGGTGCTACAATTCCAAGTACTGTCTACAAACAGAAGCAAGAAACATAAAAAGATCATAAAGCCAGGTTTGCTACTGTGCTGTGAATGTTACAATATAAACTCTACTCCTTTTGTACCCTTCCATTCACATGCTCTAAGCAGTCTGAACAATGCTCATGTACAAACTGGAGGATAGGAATTATATGGAGGATAGAAAAGTGGAATTGAGGGGAAAAAAAAGGATGGGAGAAATATCTCCTACTCAAGCAAAACAACGCAAAAATTCAAATAAAGAATGAGTCTTAATGCCTGTTACACATTGTAGAATGGGCAGCAAAAGCACTTTAATCCAGTATTGCTTAGAGTCTTCTTGTTTTGGGGTTATGTCTTGGGTTGTTTCAATTTTGTAGCTAGGAGATCAAAAAAATGGAAGTAGAGAAAATGGTCCAGTAATGGGCAAGTGTCAGGCTGCCTTAACTGTAAGCACCACTGCCAGCTTCATCTGTGATGTATGTGATATTTTTACTCACTATTGCCACGAACACTTCAACTTTCCTTGAATTCTGCATGAATCAATTACATGAATCAATTACAACAACCCCACAGGCTTCTTATGAAATTAATATGAAAAATACCCTTTGAGATAGTTCTTGAGTTGTGTGTTATCTCAAATATCATTCTGTCTTCAAACCCCTGGTTTAAACATAAAACAACTGATTGGAAATGAGAGGGATGCTGGGAGTTGTAATTCAGTTCCATCCTGGACAGATTGCCACTGAATCAGTGCTTCAGGAAACAGATTACCATCTGAAAGGATGCCCACCTACCTTTCTTTGTATTTCAGTCTTCTCAATTAAAAGTGCTGGCTGCCACAACAATAAACACTGTACGAATCAGCAAATTAATAATAAAGATAACATTGGGCTCTGGGGGCCTTTCAGGAGACAATTCAATCCAATATTCATATGATTGATATAATGAATACATAATAGGGATTCCAAAGCCTTTTCATGGAATGTTCCAAGTATTCTGGGAAATAGAAACTATTTACATATAATACTCTGAAATTTCTTATTGTATTTAATCCATAGGTGGCTCATCTCCACTTTTGCACTTTTTGGTCCCAGACCATTCAGTTTGTTTAGCTTGGGATTTCAAAATGTAAGCATAATAATGAGAAAAAAATATTCTTCCTTCCCCTCTAATTCTTGCATTGGCCTTTTTCAAATGTTCATTTCAAGTACTTCCTGCTGATTCAGTTCAGAAGTCAAATTGTCTTGGAAGGATTATGTGTGTGTAGTGCTTTCAGCCTGATCAGGTGAAAATAATGTCAATAGTCCTACGCCCTAGATTATGTTCTTGAATATTTTAGCTTCATTATACTTTTTCAGCATTTTATAGAACACATGGGGTTTGTAAATGTGCGTTTTTTTTAACGGAAAAATGAAGAAACTTTTGATGTCATTCTTTATTTTCCAATCTTTTTTTCATAATTTATTATTATTGTTATAATTTAATGTATTTATTGTTTGTGGGTCTGAGAGATGTGTAGCACCACAAGTAAGTTTGACCCTGTCTTTTGATTCACAAAGGAGGACTGGTGCTTTTTAAATCTATTTTTTGTAATATATTTGACAAGCATTTTTTTTCAGACCTGAAGCTTTTTTGGCAGCATTTTTACAAGATTATTTTATATTTAAAACAGGTAAGTGTGCATATTTGATCGACAGAACTAATGATCAAAAAAATGCCAAGATTTTTCTTCCTTCAGCTCATGAGATCTTAGAAAAAAAGTCTGAAATAGGAATATGTTATTCTACATTTCTTCCAAATAAAGTGCAATTATTTTTAAACGTTCATTAAAATATCCACCTATCTATTCTTTTATTCTACTGATAAGGAAGCAGAGTTTAGATTTTAGAGCATCTTATTTCAAGTACCTATGTGTTCTAATTTTCTTGATCTGTTTGAGCAAGGAGCAGCAGTGCTCATAATTAGCTAGTACCTCTACAGGGATCTAGGAAAGCAATTAAAACAATTCAAGCATGGAGAGGCTGTATGAGCAAAAAAATGGAGTCTGGAAGACATATTATGCTGTGGCTGTGGTATGCAGACAGCATAGAAGATAAGAAATGGTAATGTAGAACAGATTGTCTTAGAGCTTGTAGAAGATATACAATATACTACTAGTGTGAAGCAAACAATTGTGGGGCAACCCTAGAAGTGCAGTCTTGTAGGGCAACCTGTATCAAAAAATTTTTTTTCAGAATCAAACTTGTTAAGGATTTGTTAAGTAGGATTTTGTTAATTTTTAAGCAGAAATGTGATTTATCAGTACTGTACATTTAGTCTTTTACCTCAAAGGAAATAGAGCTATTCTTGGAGTTGTTTATGTCAATTGTACCTCCAGGCAGTGTACAAAAGTTCTTCTGTATTTCAAAAGGCTTAACATGGGGAACATTTACATAGCTGTGTGCCCCTATCAACTCAAAAAAGTGACTTAGTAGTAAAGTATTTGTATGCTGGGTAAGAGAAAAAACATACTTCTGCAGGAAGATTGCTAATTAAAAAGCTTCATTTCATTTAGATGGTGAAAGATAGCTTGCAAGGTCTGACCAAAGTGGAAGAATGCAAATTACACAGCACTATGCTGTTGGGACTCATCCCGGTACAGGCTAGCAATTGTTGGTGTTGGTGCTTGGCACCAATCTAACTGTCACTATCAGTTTACTATCTTACTCTAAAACTTTCATACCTTCTCTTTGTGAGTTCCCATAGAGAGCTTCTTACAACAGTGAATCCTTTTCTCTTCCTTCTGTGCAGCCAGCTGACCCTTACTCCTCACAGCCCAGCCAAAAATCTCCAGCTCTTGACCAGCTAGCCTGCTCTTTTATAACGCCCATCTTTAATGGACATAGCTGTGACCTATTAAGGGCAAGCCTGTTCCTACTCTTTGGTGATTAGTACAGTTCCAACTCTCCAGGGGTAAAATTGCTTTCTGCACTATCTCGATTCCCCTGCAATCCATCCTCCCACACTGTGCCTCTAAGTTCCTCAGCATGCTGAAATAAATATAAGAAGCAAGTCATTTTTTAATATGGAAGAAGCAACTTCACTGGACTATTAGAATCTCTTAAAATTGGCAAGTCGTAAAACAATAGGTTCTCACATTTGTATGAGCTATGAATATATATGCAGTACACTCTGTTTCATCTATGAGAACAGATGCCTCTCCATTTTTATGTAGATAACAAGATGGATTTAGCTGATTTCATAATTGACTGCCTCGTTCTTTACACTTAGTGAAGCATGAATATTTT